TAAAACTATACACAGTTTGTATTCACCATTGTTGAGGATTTTTTTACCTTAATTGCTTGTTTCTATATATTTATTAGCACAAAAAAAGACAAACCAGTTATCAAATAAAACACTAACATTCTTGAGAAAAACTGAAGAAACTAAAATGAAGACAATTTTTTTTGAATAATTCTTCTCAGTATCTTTTGATACCGATACAAATAGAATATTTTGAAGTGAGAATCTGTTAATTTGATTCTTGCCACACAACTGAAAAACGCAGTGAAATGTTGTTCTCAGTTAAGGTTGTAGTCAAGTGTTCCTTAGGGTCGGATACTGAAGCCAATGAAAAACTTCACAATTCTAAAATTACTGTAGAGGACTTCAGCAGTAGAGAGACTATTTCAGTCTGTACTACACATACATGCAATCAATTAAGTGTTTGTCTGGTTACCTTTAACCTCTTATTTGTGTGTGCACCAACTGCACACACCTTTCTGAAATTATATATTCTATTATTGTCTTATTTCCCTGGAAATGCATGATTCCAAGTTCTATACGATGAACTGGATATAAAAGGATGAACATATTTGTCGTGGTTTTGCCCTGTAGCCCATCCTAAGGCTGAGATGGTTTTTGTCAGGTGATTTCAGGGACAAAACCAATCAAAAAGTTCAGTGACGCCTTTGCTAATTACATCTTTAAGACGGAAGAGAAGGGATCATTTAGCAGTTGAAAGGTAGGGCAGCAGCCATGTAGAAGGAGTAGTGGGCGCAGAGGGGCTAGGGCCTTTCCTCTCCCGACTTGGGCCGAGGAGAAGGTGATACAACACCAGCGCCTCTCTTCTCTCTTGTGTAGTGAAGAAAAAAAAAGTTTAAAGACAAACTGCTTAGGCAGCAGCTGCAGAATTCCAGCCATGAGATAACAGGATTTCAAGGTCGAAGCAGCACAGGAAGAGAAAATTCGAAGGGGAGAACTGCTTTCTCCCTTGGCTCTCTCTCCAGCAGGGTAAAGCCCAGAAAAAATAAAACCCTGCCATAGTAGAGTTTGGGGTGAAGAGACCCCATGTCTGCAAACAGAGGCTTGTGGATGCTGAGATTTGTGACTTTAACAGAGAAAGCCTTATGCTGGAGTAAGCGGCTCAGATGAGGCAGAGTCATTAAAGACACATGACCTCGAAGGGATCGATGCTTATGCTGGTGGCGGCTCAGATGGCTTGGATCTGATGAAGATCCATGCTGCTGCTGTTGGTGCCATTTGGCGGGTATTACAGACCTCATTTCGGTTCAGCGGTTTCAGGTAGGGATGTTGGGATCCATGTGTGGGATCCATGCTGCTGGTGCTAGAGAGAACCTACGCTGGAGCAGAAAATGGCTCAGGTGGGATATTGAGATCCGAGGTAAGGGATCGGACTGGACCCATGCGAGAAGTCAATCAAGGACTGTTCTCCCATGGGAAGGACCTCCATAGAAACAGGGTGAACTCTTAAACCGTATCCTGTAACCCTGTGGAAGAGAAAGATCCATAATAGGCAAGTGTCCATGGCCTATGAAGGGGCCCACCAGGACCTGGGGTAACCCCAGCCTTCGGTTTAGCGGGGAGGGTGGCCCAGCCCTGGAGGCCAACACAGAATGAGAGAGGTCAGAAGTTCCAGCTGCGGTAGTGCTGCAGAGTTACTGGAGAGAGAGAGAGCTGGAATTCTGAGAACAGAAGAAGACTGCTTCTCCTCCTTGGACTGATATAAAGGGAGGTGGGGGGAGAAGTATCTTCTGCTCAAATATAATACCTTTTACTTAAGTAGAATTGTTGTAAAATATAATTCTTTAGTTTAGTTTGTTAATAATAAATACTCATACCTTTTTTTTCAATTCAGTCTCTTTTTGTCTGCATAAACCTTCTCTCAACTGATAGTAATTGTATGTGGGGGTGTAAAAGTAAATTGAGCCAGGGCAAAACCACGACAATATTTTTATTGTTTTATAATCATTCCTGGCCCTATTCTCCACTTCTAACAAAAAAAATTAAGCAGTATTACATTACAAGCTTTATATGCTAAGGAAGTTGAAGTCTGTAGCACCTCTCCATCAACCACCTTTCTGAATGACAACTTAAGTTGATCGGGATTTTGGTTTTAAAGCACTATAAAACAATCCAGCTTCATCTGCAAAGCCCCTTTACTTCTTTAAGGAAAAAGATTTTAAACACAAATACAATTGGTAATTCTCTAACACTTGCACACAGCAATGAGTTGTGTTTTGCTGGGCAAGGACTTCCACCTTCATTCAGGTCAGTTCATCACTGGGAGAAACTGAGGGCTTGGGAAATGGTATCATGTTAGACATAACTGACTCATTTTGTTCCAATTCGAGTACTAGAGGGTTTTCTGTTTTGTTCTGGGTTTTTTAGTGTTGCTTTATTTTTCCCACAGTTCAAACACTAAATTGATTTGCAAATCCATTTTTTAGTTACAACTGCAACCTGCTGAAGCACATCTTCTTTAAAAATGAACATTATTGAACTAAACATTACTGAACAGATCCCAATATTATTGAGGAGTTTTAACTGAAAAACAATTTATAAAGATCACTTCATCCAAAAGCATACCACGGATTTCCACAGAACTGATGAGAGATCTGTATTCAGCCTATGTATAACATAGGCTGAATAATAACATATATAATGTAATAACATGTATAATATAAACATAGGCTCATATTTTCTCCTATCATGAGGAAACAACATAATCAAGAGAAGACTTGTTATGTGGAAACTGAAAAGCTGTTTGTGATCTGAAAGCACTTGTTCTGGGGGACCTGATTATTTAAAAAAAGGGGGTCAGCAGAGCATATTCTTCCAAGTCATCTTTCATAGTTCCCCTCAAAAAGTATAGCAGTTCTCACAGTGTACAACACCTACTGTCACCTATTGCTTAAACAATAACACTGTACTAATTGCTCCACATTTAGCAAGTATCACTTAAATTTTTGAAGTCAAACTACATAAATTTCAGGCACTTCAATGGAATATCAGAAGTGGGGTTGGACATCTGGACTCATCCATGGTTCTTTTCTGTTACTAAGAAGGTTAATGTTTCCTGGAGCTGGAAAGCAAACAGAGTAGCTACTTTGCAGAATTCAGCAGCGTGGCTTGGAAACCCCAATACTGGATAAAGCAATGAGATGAACACAAAACTAGTTAATCAGAAAGGGCAGTATGAGAACCCTGATCTTTAAGAAACTCAGTAGAGACTAACAAAATGTGAAGAGAGACAAAAGGACTGCAAGTCCAGTTTGTTTGTAAACTCATATACATAAATTTAAAGAGACAGCAGTATAGGAAGTTCAACAGCCCCAAATGTCACCTATAGCATGACATTCATCTGATCTTTCTTTAACTTGCAGTACCTCAGTGCTCTGCATACAAATTCTGAAGTAGGGACTAGCTCTTCACCATATGAGCACAGCACAAGAAAACCATTAACAATATAAAGATATAAATAAAGCAAAAGTGGTTTTTATTATCTTAATTTTCATTTCCAGGAATTAATCGGGCAAGTTAAACAGCATTTGTAGATTTTTGCTACAAATGTCACAAGTTTTGGAAAAAGTGAAAGGTTAAAAAATTACGAGTCACTACTAGAAAAAGCTACCAACTTGTTAACCCGATTTCTGCCTTACAGCATGTATAATAATTCCTATTACACAAGAGCTTTTATTAGTTCCAAGAACTTGGTAGTTTAATTACTATTTTGAAAATTCTGTAATCTTGAACTATAAACAGGGAGAAAATATTAACTCAAAAAAGGTAAACAACAGTAAGAAACACAACCATCACAGTATTACATAAATTTTTCTGTGTAAACTAGTATTTGATCAATAAACATAATCACTATTAAAGACAAAGTGCTTATAGCAATATAATTTATTTTTAAGCTATATGAAGTGAACAAAAGCAAAATTAAACATTTGCCAAAATCCACACAGAATGAAGTGTTTTCCATTCTCTACAGCCATTAACCTTGGATTCCGCAAAGAGGATGCCTACTCTTTCAGAAGCTTGAATAGCCTCCTTCCTTTGCAAACAACTAAAATTAGAAAATCTTTACTATGTCTGCTGTAATAAAAGAGTGATTTAAGCACCAAATTTTGTGCAAATTTACTTAGAAATCTTAGAAACAAAGAACAAGTGCAATTAAATAAGTTAGTAGGAACAAATTTGTTAACCATATGTGTAAGACCATTTCCTAATTTATGAAGAAAAGGCACCATTAAATGTATACAATAGTTGAACAGAGAAAGGTCATGACTTTTTTAAAAATACAGAAAACTTCTTTCAGTATGTTAAGAAGTGACAACTAAATACTGCTGTTAAATGTCAGCACAAAAGATAATCCAAGGTAAATCACAAAAATTGCATTAGAAAAAAAATAAAGGTGTGAATTATAAAAAATAAAAGCAGTTCCACAGGGGAGAAAAGAAAGTGATATAATAAAGTTTCCATCAGAAGCAACAGAAGAATACTTCACTTCAAATTCAACAAATTAATAGATAAACCCTGAAGGTTGAAAAGTATAAATATCTTCACTACTCTCTACTAGGTATTAACACAATATTTATTTCCAGACCATTTAATACCCATAGGATTAGGAAGCATTCCACACCGTAGTCAGACAACAGAAGCTTTATCGTTTGCATTTAAACCTCATTTATCAAGACATAAACACACAATGCCAAACAGTCCTTAGCTGTTAGTGCTGCTATTCTCACATACTTTGTTACAATGATAATAACAACAGAGTGAACCTCAGGAATAAAATGCTTCAGTGAGTCTCTCTTACTGACTCAGGAGAACTACTTTCATGCTCCAAAAAACTACAGCCATTTTTCTTTGGCTAGAAGTCTGGGACAAGCTTGACTCAATTACAAAGTAACAAAAAGAATTATTTAAACAAATTACCTTTAAAACGACCTCTTAAGTTAAAATATGCTGGACAAATGAATATCGCAGTAAAGGGATCTTACCAGTAAACAACATCCAGTGGTGCAAAATATTTCTTCATAATCAAGTCAGCAAAGTAAGCTTCTGTTTCTCTGCAGGCTGTGCCATTGCCAATCACAACAGTGCTACAGCTTTGTGCAGGGTAAAAAAAAAAAAAGGAAAATTACTCTTAAACATTTTTTAAACTTTTTCATACATAGCATTCCATCCACAACAATGGCCAATATATCCTATTTTAGGTAACACAAGGCCCAGATGTAACAAGAACATATTGCTAGTAATACTGCATTGTGCTTAACATGTTTTCAGTATGACAGTTCATGAAATGAGTCAAAATTTTCATTTATTTGTAATGGAATTGTACTGTGCTAATATATACAGAAAACCCAAAAATGATACTTCATATTAATAAATGGAATGTTATTTACAGTCCTCAAACACTTTCATCTCATATATCCGTCATCCGGTATGAGCCATGAAAAAGGGCAGAAGTCCAAGTAATCACCATCTTAATTCCTTAATGGGAATATTGTAGTTGCAATAGCTTGCAAGGTCATTCCTTCTGACTGCCCTCCCCACAGCCAGTCAGCCATCAAATCACCTTGTTTAAAGCCAGTCTAATGCTTAAAGACAAACTGGACTGTATGCTGTGGCAGTTCAGCAGCTGACTCAGTAGACCAGATGTTTGTCCACAGGGATCCCAAAACAGTTGGACACAATAAACTTTTAATCACACTACCCCTGTTTGCAATTCCATCTGGAGATCTACCTGTGCAGGATTTCCTCTGCTTAATAAAACTCTTCCAAAAACTAAATGTGGCTTTTGGAACAGGAAAAGATCAATGAGCGGTTTGGGGGTTCTGGGGGTTGGAAGAATAAGGCTGAACTTATTCCTTGGCTGAATGTTAATTTCTATTCCTAAAAATAAATCGACTGACAGAGTTTTATGGGGATACATTCATAGCATGCAGCCTTACCCATAGCCATGCCTTGATTTCACACGCTTCTAACATATACATAGTATAAAAGCATGAACATAGACTAAAAGAAAAAACAAGCTCTGAACTAGATTAAAAAAAAAAAATAATTTCAGTTAAATCAGTAGAATTCTTATTCCACCAAAAAGCAAGTATTTAGATAGTGAAGATGCTCATTTTGCTTGGAAAGAGCAGTAAGTGTAAATTCCTTTAGCATACTTGTACTGTAGCAGAAGTTTCTTGATCTTCTCAGCTTCACGAAATCCTTGACCAGAATGCAAGTAAACTACATCGGTGTGGAGTATCTGACCTAGAATAATTAAAGACAAAGCCATCTGATAAAATCCACAAAGGTCCAAAAGCTATATCCTGCAGAACTACTAAAGTTAATTTGATGTTTCACAAAGAAAGTTTCTTAATAACTCATCTTTCCCTTTGATTTTTGTATTCAAATATAAGAAATGTATGGTGGTCAGAGGACTAGAAGGCTTTGGCTAGAAAAGCAAAACAAGTTAATACATTTTCTAGTTCCATGTGGACATATCCACATAAAAAATGATGAGCATCTAGTCATATTAGGAAATAAAATGTATTATATTATCAAAGAGAGAACCAATAATTTACTAGAAAATATTTATTGCTCTAGTGCAATACATTTTACAGATCCAGTAAAGAGAGATGAAAATTAGGAAGTCTCAGGGCTTGAGTTCCAGAGCTCCTGGACTTCCAGTGCCAGCTCTTGCAATCATCCCATCTATCACATTTGGAAAGAACTGGATTAACTGGCACTGAGAGCTTACAGTGCAATGAAAACTAATAACCATTTACCCTACCTTTATTGCCTTTAGAAGTTTTTAGAACACATCTGCCATTTTTGCATGGGCCTAAAGAGGTACGTATCCCCTGATTAGACTAGGATGAACTGAAAAGGCTCTGTTCTGTATCTGAACTAAGTTTTGCAAATACAGTGTTTCTGACTTCTCACATTAACACACATAGTACTAAACAAAAACGGGGCTGATAAAAGTGTCCACATGTCTAAGATACTGCCTATGAAAAAAGCAATGTTATAGAAAATATTAAAATTCAAAGTCTTTCGTGAACAGTAAAAATGCCAGGTATTCGCTTTGCTGACTACTGAGGGGCACAATTATTTGAACCTGTATTCAGGAAGGTAGAAGGCATTTTAAATTCTATTTTAGAGAGGACTAATAACACCAAAGAAGTCACTGGAATACAGGTGGCAGAAACTTAACCTTAACCAAGCTGAAGAATGGAATTTATATGTCAGGATGTGTGGAAAACACTAAAAGCTTCCCCAAAAAACTGATAAAAAAGATGGTTTTGAAATTATCCTTTACTCTAAATGAATGAATTTTTATCAGTCCTCTCAAAAATGTCTGGAATTGAAACTTACTGGTTGGTGAAATAATTGCCAACTTGCAGCCATGTTTGTAGCCAGGATCTACTCCCATCAAAGTACGACCCCTCACAGGGCTGGTCAGAAGCAGCTGCCGGAGATTCCTCCCAAACATCATCACAGACTCTTTCTCCGCATCAGATGTCAACTTGGATCTTAGATGGATGGAAAATAAAATAAAATAAAATTTCCCTTCAATTAGTTTTCAAATGCACTTACGAATTGTTCCAAAGTTGTAAGGTTTCTTCCAATCATGTTTCCATCATCTTTAATTAAATATTAAACTTCACACCAAGTTATTGACACCTTTTTAAAAAAGAATCAGCTATATGATAACCTTATTCTTATCCTAAGAAACAGTGAATATAAAGTGTATAATAGAAACACTTACAAGAATGTACACATACCAACTAACATTAAAACACCAACTCAGAATTTTGAGCAAAGAACAGTTTCCTATCAAAGCTGATACCTAATTGTAAAGAAAAGTGGATTTGAAGAAGGCATGGATCGAAATCATCATAATTTCACAGTTTGGGAGAAAAATCACTACCCAGCAAAAGAAAGGATGATGGTTTACACTGAGAGGTACCAGAGAGAAACTGGAAGGGTCTCTCCAATTAACTGCTAACACACCATGACTCATGAGGTATTTAATTTTGTCTATGAATTACATTATTTAACAGTCATCACAGAAGCATGTAGACTTGAGCTTTTTCTAGGAGGATATTCTGCTTCCTCAGAACCAAACTAGAAAACTGATGGGGCCATGTTGTTTCCTGTTTCCTAACTCTCTTTTCCAAGTTATGTTCTTCAACAAAAAGAAGTGAGTGCAGCAAGGTTTGACTTCGATGACTTTAAGCATGAACACTTACAGCAGAGTGTTATGAGAAACAAATCAGTCTTGTTGAGTGAAGGCATACAAGATAGAAAATGTCTTATTTGTCAGATGTGGCCAGCAGGACAATGACTGATAAGGACAAGTATTGCATCTTACATAAAAAAGGAAAACTGAAAAAGTAATGGGGACACAAATATTCATCACCTAGCTGATTTTTTTTTTTCTTTTGCAGGTACTCATTGCCATTTTCAACTGCATTACATTATCAATAACGATAATAATTAGCAAATAAAAAGAAATCCAGTAAAGCCTTCATATAACTTCAAAGGGTAGCCAATGCCCTTATTTTCCCTTTTCTTTTTACCCATCACTGGAAGAAGTAATATCTGGGTTTATTTTTATGGAAGGGAAAAAGCCTGTGTTCAAGTTAGCTGATCCTTTAAGAATGGGGCAGGGAAAATTACTCGTTTTGTAGGTCAATCGGTGCGAGACACAAGCAAGCTACAGATAGTTCAAAGAACCCTCATAAAGGTTATTTGACATGATGTAATATGAAGTTGTTCTGAGCAGTTTTTGGATGTGGAAGAACTTAACAGACTGACTTGAATTTGCCCAGAATCCAACCAAAAAACCAGATCAGCCCTGTCTCATCCCACAGTGGTACAGAAAGAACTAGTAATCATCATCTCTCTTTGAAAGTAGTCTAGAGAGAGGTCTAGATTCTCTTTCACACATAACTCATTGAACATTCCCTAGGTAAGCTGCTACAGCAAGAGGCTTCCTTATATCCCCATGCATTTTGTTTCTGGATCATGTATACCAAACTAACCCAGATACAATTCAAAGTGAGATGGTGAAGGGTATGCAGGCATTACAAGACTCCTTAGGAATTCAAATGTGCCCTCAACAAAGAGCAGACACTCTGCATATTGCACTAGGTCAGGTAAGTTGTCCCTCTATCCCAGTATTCTGTTTCCAAGTCTGTTGGCAACATGTTCTGCAGGTCCATCGCAAACTGTGTAAATAGCTGCCACATTTTGGTTGGAAGGTGATTCTTATTATGTCTCCCTAGGCCTTTCACTGGAAGATAGTAAAAATTTATCCCTAGAAACCTTGTGCCACTCTTCACAAGCCATTCATCTCCAAGCCCTCTCTCTCCCAAGGTGAAAAGCCCTAGCATAATCAATTTTTCTTCACAGAGAAATTATTTCACACTTTTTTCCCCTTCACTGGGCCTTTTCCAGTTCCAGGGAATTGTTTTCCTACTTTTTGGTGAGTGGACCAAAACAGTCAATCATATTCCAAATAAAGGCCAAAAAATCAAGGATTCTTTGTTTTGTCTTTATTCCTTAACTAAATAATCTTATCTTTTGAGCACTTGACATTTGTGTGGAGCTGCTTTCCACAGCACCGAAGCACCTCTTCTGTGGCAGGACAGCTCAGACCTACTAGTTTTATATATAAAAAAATAACTACTTCCCCTTGCAAGCATCCTTTTACACTCATTCCACTGAATTTCAGTTGCCATTTCATTTCCTGATCGTTCACTCTTACAGCATCCTTCTCCTGTTCTTAAAAAATTAGAAAAAAAATAACCTAAACCACAGAATGAGCTTCTTGCAGGGAGAGTCGAGGGACACAACAATTAGATGCTACTCATGAGAAATCAGAGAAAAAAAAAGCAAATGCCTCAGCCTCACAGCAGTATTTACAGACGTAACAAAGATTCAACCAGTCACCCATGCATTCAAATGAAGGTTAGAAGTGGCTTGTAAACAAGGGAAGGCTGGACTGAAGGCTTTGTACAAAGACAGGCCAAGTTCTATCCTTCCATCTGTCCTGGAGATAAAGGGTTACAGATGCCCACAAGGCCAAGTCCTCCCACACTGCAAATTCGTATCAGTCCACCTGTGAAGGGAGACTTGTGCAGAAATTAAAATTACCCCTAAACACATGCTATTAGTTACGTGTGCCTTATGGAAATCATGTTTAAAATTGGCATGGATATACAGAAACTTTTATAGTAACAGGAAATGTTACTGAAATTGCCAGGTGCGTAGGGGGAATGTCCTTTCTATTACATAATATCCTGTATTTTTTAATTTTGAATATAGACTTCTCTTTTCTCTCTAACTCTCTCTCACTCAACACTTGTATCAATTACATGATCTATTGTCCTAAGTACTGGCCCTTAATTTCATGTTTGGGATAATCATTTGATACTTTGGGGGAAAAAAAAATGAAGCTACCTCAGACAATCTAATATATTTCTCTTTTTCAGTGCATTACTGGCTCCATCCAAATGGCAAGATGCCCAGCTTCATGTTTTTCCAATTTGTGACAGTTCTCATTAATATGAAAGAGATATAAGGCAGACAGCAGTCCTTCTCTATAAGCACTAGAGAAACAGTTATTTTGGGGGTAAGCAATAATAATAATAATAAAATAATAAATCTCAGAACCTTTCAGTTGCTTTATTATGAGAAAATATCAATCAAGTCAGGATTTTAAGTCCCTGCCTTTAGTTCTACAAAGCACTCAGACTGAATATCACTGACAGGTATATTGTAATAAAAGCAAATAACCTAATCATGACCTACTAGTTTCTATATTCAATCTTATAAGATGCAGTTTTTAAATTGAGATTCAAAATTCCCCACTTCCATACAGTCTGAGACGCAATCCTTTCTGTGGAAAAATATCTGGAAACTAGTTTCAGGTGTGAAACAAGATATACAGAGAAATGTTTGTGTCCCTGAAGACAGAGGAGAGAAAGGACTCTCTGCAAGAAAGCATGGAAAATTATGAAAGGATTATCCATTAAAAAAAAAGTCCATGCCACATCACTTGCACGAAACCCTGACGGAATCATTCCATGCAGTACTGCAACAAGGTAAAATGTATTTCAAAGAGCCAAAAGCAACACTGGACATTATTATACCAGATACAAGAAATGATGACATCTGACAGAATGGAAGAAAGGAAATTAAACAATAAATAAGGTAACCGTCTTGCTGGCAAGTTTCATTCTTCTGATCACTAGAAGCACCAGCAATTTCAATACACTCTTGGAAACTTTGCGTTCCAACATTTAATGATAATAAAAAAAAAGAGAGAAGAACAGCAGGGGGTGGGTTGGAAATATTAATGCTAAAAGGAGGCATTGAATACTTTAGCAGTCCTTCACAAGAGTCCTAAAAAACAGCTCCTGGTGTGTGCAAAAAGAGAATAAAAGAAGGATAAAGAGTTAAGTGGTCAGGAACCAGGAATACTACTGTCAGGTGCTTTGCCTTCCTCTCTATAGGAGATGCTTCAGCTTTTCCTAACCAAATACCACCAATCACACAAAATAATCACAAAGAGTAAAACCTAAGCAGACATCCACTTAGGAACAGGCAGCAAGCTTCATATTCTTTGCATATATTACTTGTGAGTTACATCTAGTAAAAGTAGTAGGGAAGGGAGCTTTTTTTTTTCTTTTTGATTAAGGGTACAGAAAACCTTCAGCCAGCTTCTGCTGCAGCAGCTCCTCCAAATTTTATACACAACACAGGCCACAACAATCCTGTAGTCCAAGCCACAGAACAAAAATATGATAAAAGAGATTTATGTCAGTTTGTTTAGTTATCTTAAAACCAAACCCCACTAAAAAGTAAGTATTTTTTCTTTATTTTAAGAGTTTGATTGTAGAAATGGCTAGGAATGACAACTACTTTCACTCCCACGTGACAGAAGTCAACAGTTGGACCCTCCATCATGAGTTGTTCCTCATTTTGGCCAAATAATAGATACAGAACCTCCCCTAGAGTAGCTACATGTATTGTGATCACAAAAAACCAAGTGAACTCAGCGCTTTCAGAAATCTGTGAAACTCTCATTAGCAAAAAAACAGGCTTGCTAATCAAAAGAGGTGAAGCAATCTTGCTTGCAAAGCAATGAACAAACACAACATACTGTAGTGAAGAAACCCAAAAGCCGTTAGAAATACCTGCTGTTAAAAACTTGAGCTGACAGTTCTTTTCAGATGCTTAGAACATGGAACATAGAGGGAATGTTGCTCATGAAAGGAAGTGTCAGGAAAACAATTCCAATTTGAACAGAAACATAAAAGCACACCCAGTAACGTACAAAAGAACTGTATTTCACAATGTGATGGCAGATTTTAGATACTGAATAGCCAACAAATGATTTTGATAGAAGTCATTTCAACATTTCTGGTTCAAGAAACAGGGTCTCTTTGATAAACTTAATTTTGAACTACCTTAAAGCAGGCATTAACATTTAGGTCACATATCAGAAAGCCTCGCCAGAAAGAAACATGTTATGCTTTGAAGAGTTTCTCTTGTATTGATGAGAAGAATCACACCATAAACAGTTAGCCATAGGAACATAATGCTTTTAGAATGTAGACTTTGACATAATAAAGATTTTCACTTCCTATACTACACCATAAAACACCCTATTTAATTCATGTTATTTTGACACCAAATTTTAAATTTCCTTTAAATTTAGAACAATATTACAGATTTAAGAAGTGCCACTTTGTCTGATGACATCATTGCTACAGTATTATCAGAAGTAAGTTTACTGACTTCTCTACAGACATCATAATACCAACAAAATGGTATCAGACTAACACTATGACTAATTAGTTTACCACAAAAGTGCAGCTGACAAACATGAAGGGTACTGCCAACCACAACAATACTTTTGCTGATTTCTTTCAAACAGGTAAAAGAGTAGGAGTCAGTACAATGTCACGGACAGTACTGTTGCTGTGATATGACAAGATGCTGGGAAAAATCAGTGACATAATGGTTTATGCTAATACAAGAATAAAGATAAAACTATTATGGTAATCTAGTAAGTTTATTAGATAAATGTACAAGTAACAAGTACGTAAACATGTAACATATCTTCACAGAAAGATCATTTCTCTACTGTAGCCTAAAGTGCACAGGGTCACAGATTGAATCTACAGAACCAAGACTACCTAGTTCATTTCTTCTGTAAGTACTGAGGATTAAAACCTTGCTGATATTTTCAAATGGATAAAAGATAATCTAGCAAAATGTTAGGGAGGGAAGTTTTAAAAAAATTATAATATCAAAGTACAGATTTATTCTGGGTTTACCTGAATTCTCTACAGAGAAGAGGATGTATAAGGCGTTTATATGCATCCTCTACTGAACTCCGTAGGATCTTCATAAATTCTGGTTTTAAAAATTGTTTCGGTCTCCATCTGGAAAAGATTAGAACAAGAAAAATCAAAAAACACTTTAAGAATGTATACAAACACCTAGATTAAAAAGGAATTTCACAAGAAGATTTCTACATTGTAATGTCCTATAAACTGCAGAATTACTACAATAATTAGGCAATGAAATCATAGATTTAAATATGAATGTAATGAGAAGTTGTCCATGTGCACACAGGTCACACCAGGGACAGGCTTATCTTTTCTTAGGTATTAGAATGCATTCATAGTTTATATTTTAAAGAAAACATAAAAATCCATTATTCTTCCCTTTGAAAAGTCAAAGCTTATAACAACTGAATGAAGCACTTGATTACATATTACCATTAGGGTTGCATTATTTGCTATTCCTCAATACATTAAAAAAATTACTAAACATCCTCTGTGAGTGTCACTGCAGAGATACTGATATAAGGCAACTATGCCCAAATGGAAATTTAGGAGTTAAACAAATATCAATTAATGAAACCCAAATAAAATTACACTTGGAATGCTTTGAGTATCTCTATTCAAACTCTAAATTAAATCTTACAAATTTTGCAGCAATTCTTAAGGACAGAAGCCAAATAACTTGCAAATTATTTTCTCTTTTACCTGTTGCTGATATATTTGAAGTGTAAATAATATTATACAAAAAGGTAAAATTAAATAAACAATACCAAACAAACACAAGACTGTTTCCCAACTTTTTCTAAGTCAAACTCTTCAAAGCATTCCTTTTTCTAGGGAGAATGCATAGTAGTCATAACTATAATGACAATTACTTCAAATTTTCCTGTAAAATACACCTCAGTTTCAAAGTTTATTAATATTTAATTAAATGAACTTTTTGTTGCAGGTAATGTCCCATGAAGGAGAGGGTTGGGGGAATATGGGTCAGGGGGATGGGGGGCGGGTTGTGAGTCCTTGAACAAGCAGAACTGACTCACTAGGATTGCCCACCCAACAATAAGAGATCAAGACTGAGGAGAAGCAACCAGACATATTATTCTGAAACAGAAATATCTAGTTAACATTTTCTATTAAAGTCCACCTTTATTAAAAATTTAAAAATATTGATAACAGTCAGTTTTCTTCCGTTATTGTACTATTTAATATGCCTGAGTCCCAAACTGTTAAGTGAGATATATACTTATTTTGTAATATGTCTGGGTAAGTTTTTTGGTTGGTTGGTTGGCTTGTCTTTTAAATGCAAAAAGATAGAATTATGGTCATTTCATAATGTATCCAGATGCATGTCCAGGCAAAACCAGAATGAATTTCACTTTTGCCTTTGTTTATTTGCAGTCATTCAGAAACACACAGAATCCCAAATTGCTCCTATCCAGACAGCTTTTCAGTTGTTTAAGGGGATCTGCAATTTCCTGAAACAGCTTTTCCTAGTGTCTGTGCACATAACAGATGAGGAATGTGTGATCGAGTCAATGCTGCGTTAATGCAGACAGACATAGGAGCAGAATTAAAACTCACTATTTAGTTTTACAACATTCAGGGTTGTGAGTGCTTAGCCACATGACCTCATCACTTTGCTAACAGTTTTTGCAAATAGTTCTATTATACTTATTTGTAACTGGAGACTCTTTCCATACCTATATAAAACTGGCAAATGCTTTAAACCCTCTTATTGCCATCACATTCTATAAACATGAAGTTTTTACAGGTGGCAAGTTTGACTATAATCCCCCAGAAATTATCCTCAGCACAAATAAGAATGAACTGGAAACCTGGCAGCTGTTTCCCCTGCTCTTCCAGCCATTAAAGCCAGTTAACAAACCTTTCCTCTGTAAATAAGTTATCATGGTAGATATTTTTATTACCTGCCTACATATAAGTAAAAATTATTTAGGCAACATTCTGTTAGAAATTGCTACAACTGCAAAAATATCCAAGCAGTAAGTTCAATTACAGTAAATGCTGCATTTTAATTATTGCAGTACTTCATGAGAGAAGAGAAAAATTCACTTTGTTTCAAAAACAAAGCAAAATCATGTGTGTATATTTTTAAAGATCATAGCAGTGTAGTTAAGCCTCCCCCTAAAAATGGATTTTTCTTAATTATTTAATCAAGATATGACTTTAGATGACCTATTTAGGAAAACTACATATGAATAATATCTTACTCTGCTCATCATCTCTCCACGTGCAAGTGCTCACAACAGGAACCACCGTAAGCATAAATGGCTTAGATAACTGTTATACCACAGAAGGTGAAACCATATTTCAACAGAGTTAACAGAGTCCACATCAAGAACCACAAGTTATCAATTAACAACTGTTCTGGGAAGAACACAGCTAGGCTTTTAGACCTGAAGGAGAAACGGTACAGCTTTGTGTTCCCCCAAGATATTATAGAAAACAAGTACCAAGTTAGTAACCAGAGGCAAAGTAAGCCTTAAAGGCTCATACTATGGACTTTACACAGAACGTGATAATTTTGACTGGAAACTGAAAAATATTATCAAGCATCAAGCTTCATTTTCAAGGCCATAATCCCATTTTGGAACAGACTCTCACCCCTTCCCAAAGAAAGAACAGATGTTTATACAGGTTAATAAATATTCTGAACTTGCAAAAAAATTACAATATTCTTAGACAGCATCTACCTAGATCTCCGTGCAATGATGAACTCTAGTCTTCCAAACTCACTTTCTATCGCAGAGACACTTAATGCTAAAAAATTTGTCTCAGAAGAACACAAAGTCAGAATATTTGCTACTAATTCAATAGGCAGTAGGTGATACTGTTTTGTGGCTAGAATACTGGCCAAACTCTGTAGCAAGGTGGCATTTCTGGTTCTGCAACTGATTTTGTGTGTAACCTTCAGGAAATTAGTTAATTCCTTTGGAAAGTTTTGAAACCATTGACTCAATCAGAAGTTATTAACCTTCTGCTCTCACCAGCAAATCAATGCAATGAAAACAATGCAAATTCCACCCTTGGACAGTAATTTCAAAGCTTGCAGGGCAGAATACACATTTACTATTTGTCAGTTTGATAACGCGGTTGTCAATCTAACAAGGAAGATCAGAATCTGTCCTAGATGTTAATGCACCAAGATTTACTAAACTCATTCCTTCAGAAGTTTTCTAATGGTGGAGTTGTCCTTAAATAGTAAAAAGCCATAAGCATATATAGCCTCATGAATGCCAAGTATTAACAAGTAGTTTCATTCCCAAGGTCAATATTCTTTTTATCTCAGGATGACTCACAAAAATGTAATCAACCAAAAATATCTCCATTTACATCCCACTTTTATTTGTGTAGCAGTGACAAGCTGTTCCATTATCTGTGGTTCACAGTGCTTCCAAATTCTGTCATAGATGCAGTATAAGCAAGACTGACAGACATGTCCTGCCTACAGAATATTCATCTTGAGGGGAGGACAGAAATTCTGTTATAGGTACTAAAACTAGAATGAAAAAGGTGTGTTTATGAATACTGATACTTTAGTGGGGGAAAAAAAAAAAAGTTAGGTACTATTAGTCTTAGATCAGCCTGACCTCGGTGCCTGGCAGAGTTATGGAACAGATCATCCTGTGTGCAATCACACAGCACCTACAAGATGGACAAGGAATCAGACCCAGCCAGCATGGGTTTAGGAGAGGCAGATCCTGCTTGACCAACCTGATCTCCTTTTACGATCAGGTGACTCACCTGGTGGATAAGGGGAAGGCTGTGGATGTGTCTATCTGGACTTCAGCAAAGCCTTTGACACTGTCTCCCATAATATACTCCTGGAAAAGCTGGCAGCTCATGGCTTGGACAGGGGCACTCTCTGCTGGGTTAAGAACTGGCTGGAGGGCCGGGCCCAGAGAGTGCTGGTGAACGGGGCTGCATCCAGCTGGCGGCCGGTCACCAGTGGTGTCCCCCAGGGATCAGTGCTGGGCCCAGTCCTGTTTAACATCTTTATCGATGACCTAGATGAGGGGATTGAGTCCATCATCAGCAAATTTGCTGATGACACCAAGCTGGGAGGGAGTGTCAACCTACCAGAAGGCAGGAGGGCTCTGCAGAGGGACCTGGATAGACTGGAGAGATGGGCTGACTCCAATGGGATGAAGTTCAACAAGGCCAAGTGCCGGGTCCTGCACTTTGGCCACAACAACCCCCTGCAGTGCTACAGGCTGGGGACAGAGTGGTTGGAGAGCAGCCAGGTGGAAAGGGACCTGGGGGTGCTGATTGACAGGAAGCTGAACATGAGCCAGCAGTGTGCCCAGGTGGCCAAGAAGGCCAATGGCATCCTGGCCTGCATCCAGAACAGTGTGGCCAGCAGGAGCAGGGAAGTGATCCTTCCCCTGTACTCTGCGTTGGTGAGGCCGCACCTTGAGTATTGTGTTCAGTTCTGGGCCCCTCAGTTCAGGAAGGATATTGAGGTGCTGGAGCGGGTCCAGAGAAGAGCAACCAGGTTGGTGAAGGGACTTGAGCACAAGTCCTATGAGGAGAGGCTGAGGGAGCTGGGATTGTTTAGTCTAGAGAGGAGAAGGCTTAGAGGTGACCTCATCACTCTCTTCAACTACCTGAAGGGAAGTTATAGCCAGGTGGGGGTTGGTCTCTTCTCCCAGGCAACCAACAACAGGACAAGGGGACATGGGCTCAAGCTCTGCCAGGGGAAGTTTAGGTTAGATGTTAGGAAGAAATTCTTTACAGAGAGGGTGATCAGGCATTGGAACGGCCTGCCCAGAGAGGTGGTGGATTCACCATCCCTGGAAGTTTTTAAAAAGAGATTGGACATGGCCCTTAGTGCCATGATATAGTAATTAGAGTTGGATCAAGGGTTGGACTTGATGATCTTGGAGGTCTTTTCCAACCCAATCTATTCTATGATTCTATGATTCTATATTATATTTTCCAGCCAAACAAATACTTAAATTCTTTCAGAGCCCTATTCTTCCTTTTCAGAGCAAACACCACTACTAAATTTCTACAATGAAAAGGAACACTTTTTTCCACATCCATTTCTTGGATTTGTTGGGAAAAAAAAATACAAGCTGAAGCAATATCACATTATTCATTTTTATACATTAAAAGGTGCATTTTTTCCTATTTTTTTCCTCCTTTTGGTTATTCAGTTTTAGGATGCAAAGGCAGGACTTTCTGAGACATCCTCAAAACAATGTCCAGTATCTTAAACTACTAAGAAAGAGAAATCTGTCTTTTATACATGGAAGGAAGACACAGAGATTGGATCACGATATTCTCCAACAGAGGACATCAAGGTACAATTTCCAAGAAAAAGACTGACAGAGATATTGCACAAAACAACATCTATTTAACATAAACTTTTGCAGAAAACCTAAACGTTATGCAACAATAAACACCTCACTACAGGCTTAAAAAAAAAAGCAACTTTTAAGACCAAATCAGTAAAAAACAGAAGAATCCAGTCTTCAGAGCCGTTTTCTGACTCAACCAGAGATCAAAATGTAAGAGATGGTTCGCACAATATGTGAGGATTATGCATTGAAGGCAGTCATGTTAAACATGCAATTCCTTACATTTGTGAAACTTGAAGTTATGTACTTCACTGATCTAAAATGCAAGACAACCCTATTTAATCATTGTAATCAAGCATATAAGGTTATTTTTTGAAGTCCAAAGTATATTCTATTGGATGCTACAAAGTTTTCTCAGTAAAGACCACTGGATGTGATGCATATTACAATTTGAAAATATACTCACATTTCATCAGCCTTAGCATATTTTTAAAAAACTCAATTGCTTTAAGAATGGTGCTAGAACTCACAAATATAGCCCAAGGCATGATCTTTTCAGCATAATGCTACAGCAGTCGAGAATACAAAATAAGAATTATCCACTAGCTAATTTCATTCAATCTAATAAATATTCGTTTAATTAGTTCTCTTAATGTAACAAGACATATGAGGTACACTTCAGTACACAGCAGTCTATGGAAAAAAAATGAGATTTGTGTAAGAATATATGTATCCACACAGACCTTTCATTGACACACCACCAACAGAATTCATTCTTCACCCCGTCAGGAATGTTGACCTTCACTGTCAGGATCTTCAGATTTTCCCCTCGGTTAATGGCCAGAATCTGAGTGCAAACATAAATGGCAGAGACAGATGACACACAAAATATCCAAAAGATAAACTTATCAACATTTGTGTACGCGCTTGCTTGACATTCTGTAGCAAATCAGCATGGTGGTACAGTAAATCAGTTCACAAAGTACTAGCATGTACAGATAACATACACAATTTAAACACAGATTAAATCAAGCCATGGTGTAACAAATCATACAATTTTTTTAAGAGTCTGCAATCTCAAGATTCAGTTTATCTTAAACACATTTATAATACAAAACAGCACGAATTTAGCTGGGGGAATAATCTTATTTAATAACACAAACTAAAACTCAAAAAAATAATTGAAAACTGACCCCAATCAGAAGTACAGATTGGAGAGGGAAAAAGTTAGTCCTGTGCTTCAGGTTTCATTTTTCTCTCCAAGATCAACCCAAATCTAAAATTAATTATGGATCAGAACTTGTGACACAAAGGCACTCAGCTTAATTTGAATGAGAACAAATTTAGAGTTATACATTACTAGCTCACAAATAGCAGAAAAGACTGTAGATACACCCTTCATGTTAACACTCCATCATTAAAACACATGCACATATTTCTGACAGAAACTCGTGTACATAACTGCCTAGTCATGATTTAAAGCTAAATTAGGTTGCATTCGTGCTACCTGCATGCAGAGTTCAATTTTAAATGGAAGACTGTGACTCTACATTTAAAACCAGCACCACAATACTAGTGGTGGATCCTGGAGGATACTGGTCAGTAACTACTAGTCTAATCTCACTGTGGTGACACTGAATGTTCACCTTAGTATTCAGAAAACTCACTGATTTTAGGAACAAAGTAATAGTCAGAAGCAGCTACAAATAAAAGTCACATCTTTACATTTCCTTTTTCCTTCCAAAGTATTTTAAAGTAGAAAAGCAAACAAAACAAAACAAAAAAAGAAACCTGCTGGAAGTTGACATTCCTGTATGACTACACATGTTGCTGTATGTAGCAGGCCCTGAGCACTGTCACAACAGAGCATTCTGTGTCAATCATGAACTTTAATTCAATCACTAGCTAACTCAGACATGTCACATATGTTAAATACAATGGTTTAAAATGACTCCAGGACATAGTACCAATTTATATTCCTCGGCCTTACTGCTCCTGTGACATACCAGGCCTGACATATCATTGAACAACAAAGCTAATAATAAAGATTGCATGTGAAATATTATAGCATCTGGTACCTTTACTGCCAAAGCAAATGTTTTCATGTAGAAATTAGAAAGACACATTTTAACAAATCAAATGCTTTCACGTTTATTATGATTTTAGTTTAAAAAAGACAAAGTTAAATGCCAAGTGTATCTGATAGAATTATAATGTCATCATTCAGCTTGCTGTCAGCAGGGTCAATATTTGCATCACATTTTGCTTCCTGGCCCTCCATCTGCAGAATGTGTCAGTCACCTGAACTTGAACCAGCTGTTAATGCAGTCACTAATATTATTTACATTTTTATCCTTAAACAAACTGCCCATCCTGTTTTAAGTGACGTATTCAGAGAAGAATTATCATCTAATACATGCTCAATTAAGAAGGAATGACTTAATTCTTCCTCTATTATAATAAAGATCTTTTTGTTTTGCCTGGTTTTTTTTAAGTAACATGTTAAAATCTGGTGTTCAGAAAACAGATGACAGAAAACAGTCTTCACTTCTGGAAAAAGACTGTTTTTATCTAAGACTGGAACAGATCCAGGGCCGAGATTGTTAAAAACAACATACATTTTTCAGAGAAAGCAAGAACAACAATTTGATGTAGACATAAACAGAATAAGGTTTGACAAACTTTATCATAAAAATATGACATCCTTCATTTTGCACAGCTCTCTTCTATGTTGCAGATTTACTTAGACTCACACAATAAGTTTTGTACACTTTGCCAAGGACTTTTAATTCCCAATTCCTTTTTAAGTATGAGATTGAAAATAGAGCACTTGCCTCAGACGATACACTTTATTCATGAATTCTCTTCCTCCCACCATTTCAGTCATTTCCAAATAGAGGAAAACAACTTGAAGGCGTACACAAACACTGAACTGTTTACAATTAGTCAAAAATTCAAATAAACTCTTGAAGAATTCTTTTCTCTTAGTTATGACAGTGTTGGTAGAGCTACTCAACTACATCCAAGGAGAGTGGAGTTAGGTTCTCCTTGCTGTCAAATGAAGAAACTGTGGTTGAACCTCTTGACAGCAAAATGTTCCAGCTGGAAACACCCACAGGTGTCCAACCACGTCAAAATCTTGAGTCAGGCTTTTAAAATAACCACTTTTTTCTCATTTCAGTTTCAGTATTTTAACTTTTTCAGTCAAACAAGTCGACCCCACGCCAGCCCCGATAATTTTGCGGCATGCTTCAGCACACAGAACGACAACGGCACAGAAAATAACACAGACGTACAGAGTGTGCAGTGACAGCCGCACAACTGCAGAACTGAGCTGCAGCTTTACTGCACAGCAGCTTAACTCACTGCAACACGCTCTGCAAGGCACCCTCATAGCTGCACATGCTTTGGTCATAAGGGTACAGCTTATTCTCTTATAGCTAACATGTTAGGCTACTGTCCCCCCCTTTACACACAGGGAAACTAGAGCAGAGTTAGGGTTTTACTCAGATCTTTAAGATTACTAGCACTGCCATACTCCACAGATGACAAGTTTCAGTGCAATATTTTGGGGAATACTTGCAAAGAGGTGATTGAAAGCTGACTTTTGCCTCCAGCTAAACGAATTTAGAACACTTGTCTGTAGGCAGTCACGAAAGCAGTGGAGAAATCAGAGAATTTCTTCACTTGAAGCCATCTTTTACTCTACTCTTAAAAGAATATGTTTTTACCAGTTTTTAAATGCAAAAAAAGAAGTATTTCTTCAAAGCCTTAGGTGAAGGAAAAAATAAAGACTTTTAGGTACTAAAGAGGATGGTCATAACCCAATAAAATAAATTTAAAAATGGCAACTTGCACCAGTAGGGGAATAAGGTCAGTTGATAAAGAAAGTGAAGGTAATGAGAAAGACTTTTGAAAGCACAATAACTGAGTTTCAACTTAATGAAGAAATGGCAGATAAAAGAAACCAAAACCAGCTTTTTCTCTCATTTCATTATCAAAATAAAAAAGGGAGAAAGACAGAAACTGGAAAACTAACAAAGAAACAAAGAATCAAAAGCAGACATAAAAAGTTACAGTATATTTACAAAACAGGGAACTCTGCAAATTCTAATGTCAGAAATTATCATAAAACGCGTTTTTTCCTCGATTAGTACAAAAGAGCCCTGCCATACCTTGAGCCTTGAAACCTCAGCAAAGCACAAGCAACTCAGACTTCTACAATTCACAATACAGAAATATCCAATGTGGTAGAACAGTCAATAGCAGTACTATACAGATGAAAGACCAGGTTTGTGTGCAAAAATATCCCACTATTACAATACTACCAGCTGCAAAATCAGCTGTGATCACTTCACCAGAGAGCCAGAATAGGTAACAAAAGAGGCATTAGGGTCAGCAACAGACACAAGGAAGAATAAAGCAAAACAAATCAAGTCAATCTTATTATCAAACAGACAAACTAAGGACATATCCTGGATAAGAAACAACGCAGCCACATGATCAAAATGATGACCAGGTTTGGGAAACGTGGGTTCTAGCCTTGGCTCTAATAGAGCAACAGTCTTTCTCAAGTACAAAATAAAAGGATGCCTCAGACAAGTAAATCATACCATCATCCCAGGAAATACTTGCACACCCAAAACATGTTGCATATCTCAGTATTCACCACTGTCAGTGCAGGTAAAACTAAGGAGTCTTTGACAGTCTAAGTATTCCTTCAACAGTAAGGCACAAAAAAAAATCCATACAGCACAGCACTTAATCTTCTGATGAATCTACAAACCTTTGTGAGTGCCACCACAGTAGTCAATAGATTGCTCTATCAACTTTCCCAGATTCCTAAAAGCAAGTTTTCACCAAATAATTACGAATACAAGTACAGTAAATGTTCAAACTTACTCCGAAGAAAATAATTACAGGTACCTCTTCAAACATCTACAGAAGACTTGTCTATTAAAATCACTAATAGCTATTTAGCCTTTCACCTAACACCTTTCATACTGGAGGGTGGGAAATGGTGTAAAAATTAGCCCATCCATGCTGTGACATAGTTTTTGTAATAAATTCATTTCAAGACATGCAATAAAATCCTTTCTTACTTCAAAACATCACACTGTTTTAACATGGAAAGCATAGAAAAAATGAGAGCATATAATAGCCTTCTAAAGGAAAAGGACATTTCTAGTTAGAAGTAAACAAGAGGGTCTGTTTTGTGTGGTATTATGGTTTGTTTTGGTTTGGGGATTTTCTTTTTGAGGGTTTTTTTTTGTGGGTTGGTCTTTTGTTTTTTGGGGTTTTTGTTTTGTTTTGTTTTTTAACTAGTGTGACCAAAACAAGAGACAATTCATTTGGTAATTAGTTATGAATTATCTCAAAGACCTTGACAATTGCATAGAGTGCATCACACTTCAGCCTTTGAACTTCAGGAAAAGGGATAGCCTAGCCCTCATCAGCTAGTAAGTTTGCTTCATCCTTAATTTCCTTAATGTAGTTATACAAGTCTATGATAACCAAAGATGCTTCACCAAAGCAAATACTGACGACTTACAAAACAAACCCATTTTTGGGGTAGTGCATGGGATGTTCCCCTAAGCTGCTTTTGTAGGTCACCTTTAATTTCATTTGTCTGGATCCTTTCCTGACACTTCTCACCAGTTTCACCTGTCAGGTTTAGTGTCAGAGCACCTGTCAGAGCACTCTTGACTCAGTGCTGCAGCAAACATCCAAAGGAAATAAGTTTATCTCCATTTGCTTCAAATTCCTATGCTGCAGCCAAGCAGTTTCTCCTACTATGCCACTTCTACCCCAGTCTCACCCCTACAGGGCATGTGTCATTGCTTAGCCTTTATTCCCCCGCCCAATGACTCTTGATATGCACTTGTCACCAGGAGAAGGGAGGGAGGGAGGGCACAACACATGCCACAAGTATTTCAGTATCAGTATTGATTTATCGGCATGGATTTATCTGATACATAAACCATGATAAGTATTTGCTTAATGAAAATTAATTACACGAGGGGCATACTGAATAGCAGTCCTTTGCTCAGTTTCTTAAAACAGAGATTAACAGTTTAGTCCTGCATTTCAAGAATTTGAAAGCCTCTATCTCTACTGTAAAATAAAAGACAGTATCTTTAGCATCAGTTTTAAGTAACAAAATTCAGAAACAAAGTCACATTTCCTACAGTTAAAATTCTAAGAAAAAAATACACATTTGAAGTTGTACCTGATGATGCTGTATGTTCTTTATATTGCAACGAAAACTCATGGTACAGTTGGAATTTATTAATATCCTTTTCATTTCCACTTTTGGATGACACTTTTGCCAAGGTTGACTGAATGGAAATGTACCTCTGCTGACATCTGAATAGAAGAAACAGATATTAGTAAGGTATTTTAGCATGAAACTTGTAACAAGTCATTGCTGCACATATTAAATAAAAATGAAGTTTGGAATCTGCTCAATTACAGATTATGTTAACTCTAATTACCTACAGAACTGGATGACATATCTTAATGCTGAGACTGACATAACTTATGCTGACTGGAACGTACGAGGACAAGACATTCAAGCAGACCTCAGAAAAAGCTATTACAGCCCTACTCCTGAAGGGAATGGATACTCAAAAGCCACCACCGGCACTTCAGTTTTGTCACTTATGGGTTAAACTTCAACCACCAAATTTTGGGAAGTTGCAAATAAAAAAAAAAAAGAAAAAAATTAGTTCTGTATTTCTATAAAATGTAATATCTCTCGTGAATCTACCCAACCTCAGAATTAATTTCTTGCTTTGAGCACTTAACAGCCATAAAAGTTTTCATTATTTTTAGGAGTAACAAGGATCCTAAACAGATAGCTTCCTGAATGTTCCTCATGATTATCATACATACAACACACTTCAGATCCACAGGATTCATCTGTAAAGGATGAACTATTACACTAAGGAACTTTCAGTGGTCACAAGAATGAAAGCGATAGTCAGGTAGTAACAGCACATCCTTTACAAAACAACCCCTTCACTGAAATTATCACATTGCTGACTCAAAACAATATTGCATGCCCCTAAGGCAGTGCATGTTCTTTGATAGTTCTCTTCTCCATCCCAGATGGTACACAGCAAAGAAAATAACAAGTCGCTATTACTCTGTCATACCAATTCCCCAGACATGGCAACAGTGAAGTCAGGTAATGTAAGAAAACTTAAATTCAGCTAACACAATTAAAGGATCAGTAACTCCTGCTTTAAAAACAGTCATATTTGTTTGCCTTATTGACTACCAATGCCAAAATCAACCATCACTGAATGCTAATTACACTGACTGCTGTCAAGTCAGTTATTGGAGCAATAGCTTAAACAGATGCACCTCTGAAAAGTTACAGCTTGAAGAAAATGCAAGGATGGAAAATTCCCTTATGAGTCACTAACTGCAAGGGAGAACCGCTGAATTTGTAGTAGAGCCACAGCGAATTTTACATTCTTTGGGAGTCACGGCATCACACCATGCCTACAGCAGAGAATGTACACATGAACGGACCTACACCTTGCAGTAACACAGCTTTCATGTCATTAAAAAAAGCTCTATCAGCATGCCAGGAGACTGAATCTTACCATGTAACCAGAAAATTTTAGAAAGTAAGAATGAAACTTACAGTTTCCTGATAAAATCCAGTGTATCTTTATCTTTAGCAAAGATGTCTGCTAAAATATGCTGTACTCCGGTCTCTACCTCCTGGATATTTGCAAGCCCTTAGAAAAAAATAATTATAGAATACAGTCAATATAATATACAGTTAATAATTATAGAAAAACCAATACAAAAAATTACACAACTGCAAAAGCACTAAGAAAATACATACAAGCTGAAAGATAACTGATTAAAGATATTTGACTGACTTGCAGAGGTTTCAAAGAATCCTAATTAATTAAATTTTGTTATCAACTAAACTTCCTTTCCAAAACATCTGAAACTATTCTATTTTTAACGAGCATAAAGTGAGCAATGAAGTATCATAAGACAAAATGACAAAAAAATCACTTTTCTCTCATTTTATTGAGTTTGATGCTAATGGATCTTGACATTCATGATTTAAATTAATTATTTACAATAGTAAAGTTGGATCTTTAAATATAATTCTTGAAATTTTAATAAAATTAGTAACTACAACAGAAGTCTACACATTTTGCTACTGATATGGAAACTGCCTAAAAATTCTTCGCAGGCAATCTTGTCTTTTTTCTGTGTAATAGTTTTATATTTCCACTGGTTTGTAGCAGGAGTTTGCACAACAACACTTTTGAGGTCAGGATACTGTCAGTCCCTCTTAGGAATGACTGAAGTCATAAAATGTCTTCAAAGACATGAAGCTATAAATGTCTTCTTATCTCTGGAGAGATAACAGAATTACTCAGGTAATTTCCAAAAGGCAGAACCATCCCTTAATTCAAAAGGGTAGAAGAAGTGGCACATTATTCCCCTTTGCACAGTGGTTGAATTGGACCAGAACCAGAAGACAATGAAACAAAACCAACATCTTGTATTTTAATTCAATATTATCTAACCCTGTTTGAAGCAACAATCAGTAAAGAATGCTTCAGAGCAAAAAGCAAGAACCCTAGAGCTTGCAAATGCAGCATTAACTGTCTCCTTCAGCACACATTATTTTTCATTTTGCTGTCTGATGGACTACCAATATCTTAAAAGAGCTTTATTAGCACCATTGTAAAAAATTGCATAGCTCTAGCTATTCATTATATTGAATCCAGAATCCTGCTTCTTATTGGGCTATAAAGTTACACACTACAAAAAATTCATCTTGCCCTTTTTTAAGACAAGAAAGCTAAACTTAACCGCTAGAAAGAAAAAAAAAGTGAGAATAAGAATACATTATTAAATGCCTGAACTTATCAGAAGTTATAAAATTTGGATCCTTACATTTACAAGTTATGGTAAAAGTAATGTCATGTCAGAACACAAACCTAAGAGAATTTTAAGACATGCATCAATTTGAACATGAATTAAGACACTAAAGTACCACAACTCTGCATGGCAAAATTATTTTAATTCTAGTAGAGAATTTGAATGAAATAGCATAAGCCAAATCCAGACAGAATTAAAAAAATAATCATAACGTTTCCATGGGTATTTTACTGTGTACACCAGCACATGCTTGTGTAATTGGAGAAGTATTTGATCATTCATACAACTAAAAGGCAGAATTAAATTTTCTGGTGAGGTTGCTTCCTTAACTTTCCAAGGTCTGGCTTTGAAACATGAACTGCTGTTTTTATTTCAGTTTATTTTTAGTATAAGTTGAAAAACATTGAGAATTTGAAAGAATGAAATTTTAAGATTTGATGAAAACTTTTCTGCACTGCAAATTCACTCTGATCTCAAACTGTATATAGGTTGTCAAACTGGCTCCCAAGTTGATAAAAGTGACCCAGTTCAGAGATGTATACAATTGCTGAGGCCTTTCAAATGCAAACCATTATATAAACCTAAGCAGAATTATTTTTAGCACAAAATTAAAAATAAGTGTACTGATTTTCAAAAGCTAATGTTTATGCTGCAACAAACAGCACCTCCTTCTAAATATACTCTAAATAATTTATTTCAACTTCCACCATGAGGATTTTTTTTTGGCTCTTTAGACTCTGCCAGAATAGTCAATGCGTGGCTGCAATATACTGTTGTATGAAGTAACAATATATGCTAAAACACAGTTAATTAAAAATCAAACTATTTGGTAACTGATTTTCAATGCAAAATTAGCAGAGTTTTATAAGCAATATTTAAAGAAAATAAACTGCAGTGGGAAGAGGAAGAGTCAGCCTTACTAAGGAGGTTCAGTATCTTTAAGTTGAAATTGCAAAGGTATCTGTTGGGGCAGGGAAGAATAGAAGTACATCTCTATTTTAACATCATAAAGAAGGCTGCAGCAATCTTGGCATTTTATTGTCAGAGATTGCCCCCTACAGATTCACCCATAATTGCATCCACGAAGACACACAATTCTGCAGTCTATATGTGACAATCAGGTTGTTAAAAGTTCTTGGTCAAATTTCAGAGATCACATCTCCAGTCCCTACAGTCATTCAATAACAAAATCTCTCCTGCTCATTCCCAATCACCAAGGCCAGTTTTCATTAAGAGATGCTTTGCTGGATGACATTTCCTTCAGTTCAGAGTATGAGCATAAGCCTCTTGTACCATCAGCATCGACTGTTCGCGAAACAATTCAAGTAGAACCATGGAGAGGTTTCAGGTATGTGGGGCAGTTCCCTCTCTCTTACCAGTAAATACAGGTGTCAACTGTAAGCTCTCCAGACTCCTGCCTCTTTTATACCATAATTATTACTATTTACTAAGAGAGAGGAAAGGTTGGAGGGTCATGGTATTAAATGCAAACTCTTACCACATGTTGCTTAAAGTGCTGTTGAATTTAAAGTTGTCCAGCAACACCAGAACAATTTAAGTAATTTCCCTCTTAAAATATTTTCAGACATTTACAACATTACTGTGCATAGAAGAGCACTTACCTTTGGTATTGGGTCTAATGTAAGAAAAGAGATTGAGTTCCACAGGATTCTGCAGGAGGCAGAGAGCAGCAGGTTCTAATCCCAGCTGCTTGGCCCTCTGGGCTTTGGTGCCTTTGCTCCCAGTTTTATAAGGTGCAGACTTATAACAAAAAAGAGAACAAACCATAATAATTAAAAAGCAAGAAAATATGTCAGTCACTCTATGTACTTGACATTATGCAATGTTTAGTTATGCAAGATTACATTTAAACTAAGGATGATCTGAAAGAGATCAGAGTACTGACCACGTGGTCCAATTCTTCCAAAGTTCTGCAATTCAATAATGCTTTCAAAAGGCCACCGGATAATTTCCCTTCTTTCTTCAGCTTCTGTATCGTTGTATGTGTCTTCTTTGCAACAGTACTAAAATGCAACAGATTAATATTAAAGTCACATTTCACAATGAATTAAAAAGTCTATTGATTGTGACCTTGTGTATCACACTGCTGAAACTCTCTGGAATCCCTGAAGATGGTATCTCATACTGATCCTCAACAAATCAAGTCTGATAATCCGAAAGTTTCTAACCATTATCCTCTTTCTCCAATTAGTTCAAAACTGTATCAAAATAACTTGTGGTAACTTTAAGAAAAACAATACTGATAGCCAATACTGCTACGTACATTTCTACAAGATTACTGATCTAGAAGTCAAACAAAAAGGCCCCAAGATAAATCCAGGCTGATGAGCACTTACTCCAATTCATGTACAGATAGTTCTGCAGCATAAAGTACAGGGTACCAGATTTGAACTCCTAGGTCTTCAATAAGATACACATGAGCAACTGCAAGCAGCAGAGATATTTTGTTATTTAAATTACTTGTTCAGACAAAAACTCTCTCAGGCTACCTTCCCTCTTTGGAAAAAAATCTCTTGATAGGGGATATCGAGGTGTACAGGGAGGAAGGTACCATGATGACCGAAGAGCTGGCAAGTCTGTGCACTTGCCATCTCAAGAACATGGAGCCACCCAAAAGCAAGAAGGAATGAAAGCAGTCTCACCCATCACTGCAACAAGCTTTGCTAATCATTTCTTTGCTGCAATGGTCTGGGAGACTTTTGCCTGCTCTGCTGGTACATTCCAAGAAGGGCTCTTCGCTAGAGGCTTCCGGGCTCCAAGCAGAGAGTCAAGGGATTCTTAGTAAATCTTTTTCCAAGATGTTTTTCTAAGATGCAGCTTACATCTCATCTGGCTACATATCTCCAGCAACTATAAACTACTCTTTTAGTACAAGCTTTTTTCTGTGCAGTTGTAATAAACTGCAAGGAAATTAAGATGTTAGTTTTTCTTTGGCAATTCATAATGCTAGATTTCTTGTTACTTAGGGTAAAAAAAACCACAACAAGAACCCAAGTAACTGAAAAAAATCAACAAAACACCAGACAGGTATCAAGCATAATTATCTCAGTTTTATAATTTTTTTTTTCTAAGTTCCTTTATAGTTATAGTGTGTACAAAGTGCCAAAGAGAGGGACACAGAAGCGGTAGTCAGTTGTTACTTACCTCCCACCATGATACTTCCTTGTGCTAACTTACCGTAGCTCTTCCAGGGTTTGCTGCACTTCTCGCAAGGCATCGGCCTCCAGATTATTAATGAGCTCTTTTCGATACCGAGCAATAAAAGGAATTGTGTTTTCTTCTTGAAAGAGATTAATTAAGTTTGCACATACCCACGGCTCAACGTTAGTTATTTCTGACAAGGCCTGTCAAAGGAGAAAAGAAAAAACAAGTAAACACAGCAAAGAAACAAAACACATTTAAGAGAGGTGGTAGATAGTTTTAAAGAGCCTCTCACTCAACATTCAAAACCACTCTCAGAATATTCCACTGGCCAATAGGGACTACTGTCCTCCCTAAGAGGGGATGTCAGGCATCAAGCCACCACATCCAGTATTTCAGCAAGAAATGCAGAAACCAGTGTTTCCAGAAACTTGTAACCACAGTAAAAGAAAAGAAGGAAGGAGTGCCTCTTGAGAACAGAACAAAGACAAAACCAAAATTATAAACAAAATAGAAAGACAATAAACTGTACATGGCAACTCCGAAAACTTGGAACTTTTTTTTTTTTAAGCCAACACTGACATAGATCATGGTTAAACTAAACAAACAAACAAAACCCACAAAGCCAGAGCTGATCCAAATCCCACTCAACCAATAACAGGAAACTAACATGATACTACTAAGACAAACGAAACCTCACAAAGTTAAACATGATTTTGTACAAATTGAGCTCTCTAAAGTTATAGTGTATCAATGTGGAATCAATTAAAAACTATATAAGCAGCTTATCTTAGTAACATTTTAACTGTCAGAGTTTGTTTGCACTTCACTACAGTTAATCCCATAGATGGCTGATATAAAAGCCTTTCAAAAGTTTTATCCTGAAGCCTAAAATATAACAACACCTGTGCAATCACAGTTACTGCTTTTAGAGCAGCAATACACAAGGATCAAATTCTCCATCTGTATTTCCAGGAATATTTTAGGAAACTCCTGAACAAAATTTTATAGTCTTCTTAAGCAGCGAGTACTGAGGAAGATGAATAAAATGTGTTCTAACTATTCCCATTCTGTTCATATTAAAATCTTCCATAACCACACCTAGTCTCCCAGCACAAGAGTTATCCTAAAACTGTCTTCACCTGAACAGTTTCAAAGTTAACATCCTACAAAAACAAAGACGGTATCTCCCTTGATGTCACTGCTGTGCGAGGAACACGGTCTCCTCCGTGATGGGACCATAAACACTCTCAAATGAGTCTCTATAACGAAACAATCCACACTAACTAAATCTTAAATTGAACTTGTGCACACAGACATCCCACATCTTTCAGCATCCCTTCCTGCAGGAGTTTCGGTTGAGTACATCCACAGAAAAATCCATGTGCTGACAAAGGTGAAACAGGCAAACTGTTACAGGCTTTGTACTAAAGACTGCCTAAGTCACAAATACCAGAATGCTGAAGTCTGAAGTTTTAACAGTTACCAACCAAACATTTATATTTATACATGTATTATGACAGTTTAAGCAGAGGTTAAATGACTACTTAATTCAGAGGACTGAAATTTTATGTTAAGATTCTAAATGCTAATTATGTACGAAATAGTTTCATTGATAACTCAGAAAAAATCTCATACCTGTACAATATCCCAGTTCATTTCAAATTCTTCTTTTATTTTGTTGCCTCCAAGATTTTTAACTGGCTTTCCTTCAGGACATGCATTCAACTTAATCTTTTTAGAGGGTGGTTCATCAAATGCAAAATCCTCCTCACATTTCTCATGTTTCACTTGATTCCCCACTACAGGAACACTTGTTGAGGGTTTTTCATCACTCCCTAAACTCTTTTTGGTTTTCCCTTGGAATGAATTTGTTTCCATTTTTTTAGGCTCTTCTGGTTTTTGATTTAAACTTTTCGGTTTAGTGCCTACATCTTCTTCCTTAACTGTTAGAAGCTGCATTCTATTATCTTCTATAGGTGCAATGGGCAAGGACACATCCTGCAAAAAAGACATTGAAACCATATTAAGCACTGACTATTAGAAAGTGGTTCAACATTTCATTTAAAATCTAGAAAGACTTGCTACCAGACATCATTTTTCTGAGTGATGTCCCTGTCTGGCAGTGAAATGACAAGCCAGAAATCAAATAACCTGAAATATACCTTTCATGGAGAAATGATACAAACACACCCAGCAGAACTGTGATTTAAAAGATCAAATAAAATTATGCAGGAAAGAATTTAGCTGGACTCCGGTTCAGAAGACACTGACCTACAGTCTTTCCCTCCACTCATCTCAACAAAAGAGAAAACAGCAGGGCAGGTAAGCACTCTCCTAGTGAGTTAGGTTCCCAGCATGGGAACCAGAACTGAGATTCATTCTGTCAAGATACAGTTTAACCCTGGACAAGCCACACCTTCTTTCCTGAATTTCCCAGGAGATCATCTTCAGAAGGCAGAAGGACTGGCTTCTGCCATGGTGTGATCTCTGATGTTAATATTTGACAGAAGCAAGTGATTTCCAAAAGAATAACATTTAATATTAATAATATTAAAACTGTAATCCTAACTGGATTGGACAGCCATGCAAGAAAACATAAGCACAGGTTTCTTTTTTTTGTGCTACCCAGCCAGTGGAAAGGTAGAAGACGTCAAAGGTGCAATACAGAAACCAGAGATATTACAGAAAGAACACAGGCATTATTTATTTACATTGTTGAAAGATCTCCAGGGAAAACCACATCCCATTATCATTGACCAAAATTTTCAAGGCAGCCCTTAGATCATGGACACTTCCAAGCATAAGAAAGCCACATTTATCCAACTTACTGAACATTTACAGGAACAGTTGAATCATACAAGCCAATCAGACTCAGGCAACCAACTGAACCAGAGCTGCAAAAATTCTGGTCAAGTTACTTGACAATCTCAGTAATTAAGTGTCTCTTGCTTATAGATACTCACCATTTCCTGTTTTATTGCTACCTTCTTGACCATTTTCTTGGCCCCAGCTGACCGTGGAACAGCAGCTTTTTTAGTTTTTGCCTCATTTTTCTTTGGCAAACAAGGTGTCTTGGCGATTTTTCTTTTTGGCTCCCATTCCTCCTCTTCCTCCTCTGATTCAGAGCTCCTGAAAAACAAAGGAATTAACAATATTGCCTATAAGAATAAAAAATACACACACACAGGATAGTATGAGTTTTCTGGCATGGAAGAAAGCAAACAGGAAAAATTACCAGAAAGCTAGGTAGACTCAACAAATACAGGTCTTTCACACTGCTGCAGAGCTAATGGCTTGAACAATTTACCTACTTTTATGAAACTAGTTCCGGGGACGTGTACACATCTGATTCTGTTTGGAGAACTGGCAATTCCCTTTCACGGTACCTTCACTGTGAGCATGAAGAAGCATAAGTAATTTGTGTTTTATAATTAAAGTTGTGTGCATGAAAACTCTTTAATCAACCTCTCAGAAACTGTGTTGTTCTTAGGCCATCGCTCATGCTTAGCATAAATCTTTAAAAAAAAATCCTAAGAAAAAAAATGATCTTACGAATTAAGAAATGAAGGTAGTTCTTCTGATTTAAGGGCTTTGGCTTCAGATTTCACCCTCCTTGGTAGAGATGACATCTGAAACAGAGGCAAGAAGAGAGAAATAGGACATTTGGTTGAAGCTGTATTCTCTTATTCAGCCCTTTAACTCACTGCCAAATGTGCCCTCATAATGTCTTCACCAATCACAAAAGTTTCCTCTAGAGAGAGTTTGGATTTCTCGGCATCCAAGAATTTAGGCCACAGCAGCACACATTCAACCATCTTTTCAACTAAGCAAACAAACACACCAGCACTATAACCTCTCAAACAACTTTTCTCTTCACATGGAGGTAATTAGTTGGTTTGCATGTAAAGCTATCCTAGCAGAATGAGTACTGTTCTCAAACATACTATTGGGTATCATATATGCTATGCCTGTCTTTCCTCCATCCATCTAAACAGCACAGTAAATCGAATTAAAATCTAGTAAAGTGAGCTCACATACAGTTTTGATGGGAAAGGACAAGACAATTGTCCATTTTGATCTAGAATTTCACCTTTAAAGACTATCCGTTGCTTGTATGCACATTAAAAACTATTATTTTGAATTAACTGCTCATTAGTATATAGAAAGTGCATAAAACAATTACCAAAAGTGAAAAGGAAAGACATACACTTTCTTCTGACCCAAGTTTCATACCTACAATAGCTGCAGTTCAGTTAAACAGTTACAGAATTTTTGGCAGTAGTTGGGCCTGGGATTTCAATAATCACATTTATCAGTTTTAGTTAAAAAATTTTAGGTACCCTCAAAATTTTACCTGCCAGAAAATCAAAACTTAAAAAACTTAACAAGAAAAGAAATAAAATCATAAGTTATTTCCATAATCATAAAACTCAGAAGCATATTTTACCCCTATCTGGTAAAATTTCATCATTCTTCACATTGTGTTCTCCAACTTTTTGTACCTTGACCTTTGATGCAGTCTTACCACTTATGAGCCTTAAAGTCCCATGTTTGCACAATACAAAGTGGATAAGTATTTTGCAGAGTGCCATTTAACTTAAGGGCAAAACGCCCTTTAATCAAACTTCATTTTGGCTCACGCACTAGTAGCACAACTATTGTTATAAATGGCTTTCAGCAAGTTTTCCTTGTGAAGTAGAACACAAATTTGGGTGACAATTTTCAGCACCATAGTGGTAAGAGGTCCACATCAAAAACCACTGTTGCAAAAAAAACCTTGCTTGCAAAACACATTCGCGTACCAGTCATCTTGGTCAGTAACAGGTCAGTGTTTCTGTGCTATTCCACTGACCAAAATTCCATTATGTGACTGGTTAGAATACACATTTACCACACAAAAACACAAATCTCCACAGAACACAACAAATATTACGCACCTTATTAGCTTCCCAGGTGACTTTTCACTGTCAGTGCTGAGACACCTGCAACCTCATCCAGCCACTCCGTTTTCCTTTGCTCTTTATACCTGAACAGTCATTATCACAGTTCTGAATTAGTTATTTATTCTCATTACCTCAGAGGTATGAAAATCATGTTTCCATTTTATATCACAGTTTAATACGTGAATGGGAGAAACAAAAAACAGTAACACTAAGATTTCCAAAATTAGGTAACATCCAAGCCAGACGGATCTCTGATCCATTCCTTTGCAGGCACTGGTACACTTTTCAAATAGTTAGCTTTCACTGTTTTCCAACTAGGTGTTTAGGTTACAATTTCTATATCCATCATGCTTCTTCAACTAATTCAGTTAGGTGGGTATTCTTTAGTATTCCAGGTAATTTTGGAAGCTACCCATTGAATCACTACAAGTAAGAAGGAAACAGCCAATAGCACATAGTCTCTCACCGGAGGTCAGCAACCCCCTCACTAAGTAACACTATTCTAAATTTCACTGCCAGTTTTGAACACTCAGCATATCACCATGACAGTTCCAGAGCCTACCCAAAAGTCCATGTAGAAAGAAATACTCATCTGGAAGGCCTTTTCCAGTAGTATTTCCCTCTCACCTCAAGTGGCCAAGGGCAGAGTCTCAAAATATCTCAACATTTATGTTGGTGCATTAAGTAAGATTGTGGCAAAAGTAACGCTTGCTTTATAAACTTAATTGTATTTCCTGACATCCAATGCGGATGACCTATTTAACTCTCCATATCAACACAAGAATGGGAGATGAGTTCCTTAGTCTTGGAAACCAGGTATTTTTCATGAAGAGAGTAGTATTTGCTCCTACATCCTTAAGTCCAAGTCTACTTGTCTTCAAACAGTGCACTGAAAGAAGCAGAACAACCATATAGCAAATACAAAAACAGCATAGGAAATCATGAAATAGAAGAGAAAGAGATGTGTAATATGGCTAAGTCTTTACAGGGTGCTTCAATGGTTGGGTTTGGGGTTCTTTTTTATTTGTTTTCTTGGATTTTCCATTTGAAAAAAAATCATTAGATCATCTTTAAAGTGTTTGTTGCAGTCCTTTAGAAATCTGGAGAAGTTTCAAACATGTTTGATCCACAAGATCAAAGAAGATAAGATCAACAGAGAATCTGTCCTCTGTCGCACTCATCAATAGTGTCAGTTCTTACAAGCACATAGTGAGTTAGGACTGGCCTCATATACATAAACTCCAACTTTCATTATGCTATTAATCTACTAAATCTTCTTGAGAAGAGTGGTAACTTTGCTCTTAAAGGCTTTTATATATGCAATAAAAGTTAATTTGAAGTAAGGTGAGATATCAATTCAAAGCACAAAACTTATTTCAGAGTAACTCTCTCCTCTCCATGAACAGTCAAGCCACGGTCAGAAGCTAAAATGGGGTTCTACAGATGAAAATAAAAGCCAATACCAAAAAAGTATCTGTGAGATACATATCAAAAACAGGGTATCATAAGAAAAAAAAAGTCACTTGCAGTGAAATAAGTTATAACCACCTCCCCTTCTCATACTGAATACAACAACAACAAAAAAATTCTTATTTGTAGAAAAGAACCTTATAGTTACTACATGTATACTTTTTGTTTACAAAAATAATTTTTTTAATTAGAACCCACAAAAGTACTTCTGATTTATTTCCAAATTGCCAGACAGCTGTCTGCTAAATTTTCCTCCTGAGATGCCTGCGCTGGGGTGTGCAAACACCTACAGTTAATGACTAAGAAAAACAGTCCTTCTGTGATTCACTGCAGAGGGGGAGGCAGGGAAGAGGATGAAAAAGCAACAAGTCTAAATGCCACGGATGATGACAGATAACTAATACAGATTTTTTTTTTAGAAAGCTTAGAGACAGTCCCTGAACTGAGGCAGGAAAATTCAAGAAACAGGGAAACGCAGTTAAGCTCCACATGGGGCATCTACAACACTGACTGCACTGACTACATGAGAAGGCAATCAAATGAGCTATTGCCAGTTTCATGCTCTGCTTGTATGGGCATATGGTCCCCCATGTCACCTGCCTCAAGTTTTGAGGGAACTCAGAAGAGCTTTATTCACCCTCCCACAGCATGCTGGGATCAAGCCAGTGTGAAGTTGGCCACTTACCTACCATTACATTTTCCAGATATACTCGCCTCAGTGGGAAAGCTGCCTTCTCCTTCTCTGTCATCTTCAGTTAACCATACTCAAAGTGAGAGTTGGCTTCTACCCCCAAGGAAAGAAACTATAGGTTGCACAGACTTAAGTTCCCTTCTAAAACCAGAAGAGTCCCATAGCTGTAGAAGAGCCAATTACAAAGCTGAAAAATTAAGAGTCACCTATTTATACCACTGTCAGATCAGAGCTAACATTTTCTCTTCCTGTGTCTGTGTTTAGTATTGCTGTACCTTATCAGAGGTGTTCATGGTGCTTGGCATCTCCTGTACTTACTACCTGAAGGCAGTAAACATGCAGTAACCAATGCTGTGCACAAGTTATCCAACTGCCTGGTGCATGATTTCACTAGCTTGCCAACTGGCATATTGAACTCCTACAAGCTCTGTTCCAGCAGCTCTCCTCACATCTGAGACCAGAAAACTTCCAAATAACACTGGTTAACACATTTTTTCTCATTTTATGTAAGTAATCACAAACCTTTTAATTTTAAACAATGCTGTTCTTTGAGACAAACAGTTCTTACTCATCTCTCCAACAGTATTTTACTTCCACAGCAGGCAACATGAGCTAGGTCCTGGAAACTTTGGCCTTGCCCACATACTTGGGCTCCCAATTCCTGTTTCATTTCATACCTGCCCACATATGATCTTTGGCTTCTGTGCAATAGTCTGAAACCTTAATGCTGAACTTTCACATTAGACCCTTGACCCCCTGTTCAGGGATGTCCACATCCCAAATGACAGCATCATTGCTTGAAACACACTCAGCCACCACTAAAGCCTTGCTTCTCCACAAAACCCAGCAGTTACACCATGTTCTTCAAAAGTACTTCTCAGTTAAAAGTTAAAGGACTTCACAGAGCTATTACGCTGTCTGGTGAAGAAGAGATGAAACTATTTAAATCATTGCTATTGTAGATGAAGACATCTGCTAAGTCCACTCCCCAAATAGTATGGCATCAGTTTTCTTGCCGGTTATTTTCTTCCCACCACTTCTATTCTCTGCATCAACTGTAGAGCTGCACACCACTATCCTGATAGCTGTAAATAGCACACTTCTCCCTTCCTATCAGCTACTCATTAAAATAAGACTAGTGTAGTTTAGTGTTGGGCCATACCAGGAATAAAGACAACTGACGGGGTAGGTCTTATTATACTTTACTGTACAGAATCTTAATATGGGTGTGCATTAAAGATACAGTAAGGAAGTAATCTTTTCTTTGGTCTCTCTCCCCAAATAGGTTTAGGCTGCACATAGAATATAAGTAGATTGAGGCTTTAAAGACCTTATTATGTTAAGGAGCAATCCAAATCTCATTTAGAGACTGCTGTTCTCTTCAATCTCCCTATTCATGTAAAGGCACAACCAATTAAAAGTAAATTTCTTCCTATGTGAACCCAGGTGGCATAAACAACTGCTTGCAGAAAGAGAAGTTTAACAACAGTTTACAAGTAATTAGATTAAAAAATCCTCACTCCCCTCCCACTTTCCCAACTCCCCAGAAAAATTCCTTCACTAGCATACACCTGTTCTGAAGTTCCACCAACAATTTTCAGAATCAAAAATAACTCAATCAAATACGTTTTTCTACTTGAAGGCACAGGATTTAAAAAAACACAAACCAAAACAAAACACAACAATCCAAACATACACACCACCATCACAAATACACCTGGAATTTAATTTCATGTCAGTAACTGCAAAAAGTCCTCTCAAGCTGAAAAGGCCACAAAAACTTGCAAGGCTCCTTTCCAGCTAATCCAAAGCAACATATTCCTTACCAGAACAGAAATTCCTCTTTGCAGGAAGCTCCTCAAACTTGGTCCTACAGCCTCAGCTTCTCCATCACAAATAAACGAGCAAGGATAACAGAATTTCACATTTTAGCTTCTTAAGTCTAACAGCACTAGCCAAACCATTTCATTATAACATGAAGCACCTGGGGCAGGACATGAAAAGCACTGTACAAATCCCACATGACGAGTGAATTTCAGACCATTAGTAGCAGCAGAATGGCCCACTTCAATAAATATATGGAAGCTCTCAATAAGTTGATTTGGCTTATCATTTTAAGACACCTCCATTGCATGCTACAATAACATTCTAAGAAAAAAATCAAAGTGTGAGCATACTGTCAGTGATACAGGAAAAAAGTGCTACGCAGACCAATGGTAGGGACTTGTATGGACATCTCTGGAGTTTTATCAGGTCAACTGAGTTGTACTTGAATAGATAAATCCAACTTACTGTAATCCTCTCGAGGTTCAAATCTTGGAGAACTTCCAGACACTTTTGCTCAGAGAAGCTGGTACAGATTTCCAAGGACTTTTCCTGCACAAAGCCAGTCAGGTCTGCCTGAGAAAGGAGCGGCAGACACCATTTAGGAGGCTCCAGTGCTAACTGGAAAACTGAAACCAGAAAGAAAGAGAGGGACATACAGCAAAACAGTCCCCAAAGCCAATTGGAAAGGCAAAGGTGTAAGACTAGTAGGAATACTATCTATTGCTACTACTTACAGAAGTACCACCAAAAAGGCAAAACACACGAATTATGGCCTTAGAAAGCACACTCTACTCCATGCCTGTTCCTATAACTAGTGGTCCCACCGGGGAAGAGGAACAACCTGTGTTATGCAGCAGCCTGTAAACGAATCAGATGAGGACTACACAAGAAAGGGTGTACACAAACACTTCTCATGCCCTTTCATTAATCCACTTATCTCAAACCAGCTATGAAGACAGATATTATCCAAAGCCAGGGGAATACTGCTTCTGATACAGCAACAGACTGCATGTGCAACTACTCCTTTTCTCCAATCCACCAAACCAGCTATACAGTAATGCTCCCATCATGCTTAATTAAATGGGATGTCTTCACTCCCGAAGGGACACAGAAGATGCACATCTCTTCTGCATGGTAACTGCCACAGCAGAGTTTATCACACCAAAATACTGATTTTGAAGGCTAGGAGGCAAAAGGGGAGTTGAGAGCAAAGCACTGTTTGTTGCTTGGTGAGTCACTACCACCCATATCACCGCTTTTTGGCCTAGAAATGTGACCAAGCTTAGAATAAACTTTTATGTACTTGAAAGCGTTATTCTTCCCCTGGCGACACCCTGCTTTCCTCGGGTCTGTTGGCATCATTCAAGAAGAAGGACTAACCGAGCTAAACGTCACCTTCCCGGGCCGGGAAGGACATCAGCTCCCTGGCAGGACCACGGCAATGAGCCACCTCACAAGCCCCTCCGTGCCCCAAGCCAGGCGGGGGACGCGGGAGGACACCCACGCCCCCCCATCTCAGCCCAGCCGGGGGTGTCCCTTGTCTCCCGCATCCCCGGTCCCTCTCACTCCCTCGCAACGGGGTCGGGTACCACGGCAAGGCGATGCCAACCTGTCCCCCCGGTCCCCTGGGCCTGGAGGTGAGGCTGGGAGCGCAGACGGAGGCCCAGGAAAAGAACAGGCTCGTTTCCACCTAGGCAACCGAGACAAGAGCGAGCCCCTCTCTTGCCGGTGCGGCGTGGCACGGAGAGCGCCGGGGCCAACGCAGCCCCGCTGCCCGCCCCGCCTCACCCGCCGCCCCGTCCCGGCGCAGGGGCGGGAGGCTTCCCAGTCATTACCCCCTGCTGCCGCCGGCTGCCGCGTTTGAAAGGGCCGCCAGCGCGGCCATGGCCGACTCGCCCTCCCGGCGCGCCGCGGGGAGGAGCAGGAAGCGGCGGCGCGGCCGCGCTGCAGGAAGCGGCACCGAGGGGGCGGGGGCGGCACCGCCCGAGCACCGCCCCCCAGCACCGCCCCCCAGCGGCCGGCCGGGCCCGCCGGGAGCGGGGCGGAGGGAGCGGGGCTGCGGGGGCGTCCCCGGGGCCGAAGGAGCAGCCGGTTTTCACTTAAACCAAGGATAAAGGGCGGCCGTGCAAGATCTCCGGGTTCAGTTCTTGGCTGGCGGGAGTTCAAAAGGCGTTAGAAACGTTTCCGCTGCTTTTGCTACCCAAAAAGCAAATTTTTTTTTATTTTTTTTTCGCGGGGGTATTGGGAAGCAGAAATCATCGTTGTGTGACGCTGAGATACTGTATCAAAGGTGTCTGCAGAACACACAAAAATAAATACATGCCCTTTCAGCCCCCGGAGTTGGATAAGAGCATATAGATCCCAATACACACAGGGTGCTCATGTTCCTTTACCCATGGACACTAGAACTTGCATTATCTTTCCTTATAAGCCTTCACACTGTCGTGCTGGAAAAAGCATCCAAATGTTAGTCATCTGCCTTAAAGTTTCATCTAAGGTTATGTTTCCCTGCAGTCTTTGCACCTATTCCTTTTTCATCCATCCCTACTAAGTTACATTCAGCAAGGATCCTGTGAAGTCCATATCTTGTGCGTTAAGTTTAATGGCTGCTGCTTTCTGGAGCCATCACTGGAAGAGTGGAGCAAGTAGGCTGTTACATTAAAGCCGTCTTTCGAGCTTCCATTACCCTAAAAGGTCTTCTGCTTTGTATCGTAAATATTTGTAACTTGTGGTCATAACGACGAGCCAGCTGTCCTACAGCCTTGGAAAGGCAACATCTTCAATGTAACTAAGGTGCAATAAACTTAAATAATTCATAATTTTTCATCTTGACGTTATAATAAATGTGTGTTTAACACATTTAAAATGTGTGTTTAACGTTATAATAAATGTGTGGAATGACTTTAAACACAATAATGTTCTATGCAGTCTCTCCGTGAAGTTTACCTAACCTCTTTGGTTTTCAGAGGCCTGGAGAAAGACTTCTGCACATACTTGTCTTTAAGCATGGGGTTGTATCTCTGGTGCCAAAACTTCAGCTGATATAAACTGTCACAGCTCTATTGATTTAAGTAGGGCCTGTGATTTACACAAGTTGAGGATCTGACTCACAGACCTCAATAGGACTGCTCACATATTTAAAGGTAATTAAGTGTGTAAATGTTTGCAGGCTCAGAGATGATTCACTTAGAGTTTTGTCCTAGTAAGAGTTGAACAAAGGGTAATTTAGTGTAATACTAGGAAACATGAATTCACATTAGAACATCAGACCATTTTTCAGATGAAACACCGTCCTTATAATAGATAAGGTTCTGATTTTTTATATTTAAGATCATATCCTATTCTTGTGCCAAAACAACCTTTAAATAAATATTGGAATGCACTATATATCTAAGGACAAAAGATCGTGACTATAAATACCTTAAAAATCATATTTAAATACTTGGTCTGATGATATTTTGTAATACTTAGAGTGCAACTCTGTACAGAATATAAAAATACTGCCTGTGTCATCTGACTCCTTTGATGTACTGCATTAAAATTCCTATGTCTAAGTACATATCAGCAGTCAACTTTATTTCTCTTCTATTAATAGCTTGAAATTAGGTCACTGTTCTTGTAAGGATGGGCTAAGCTTGTACAACTGATTTAAAAGAAATTACATATATATAAATGTTTGGATTTCTTTCTCATGCTAACCTACAGTGACACCGTTCCTTATCTATAATCAGTAATTTTTCTGTCCTGGCATATGTATTCTATGCTGGCAGTTTTTTGTAGATTTGTTTATAGTGACCCCTGCTGAAAAACACTAAGACTGACGTTTCTCTAAACCTTTAAAAAAGACATTCACCCAATTATTTCAGAGTTCAGCACAAACGAAGGAACCAGACGTAAATTGAAGTATATAAAATTTGAAACTCCCTAATTTGAATAGTTTTCAGTAAGATTAGTTGAATCATACAAGGGCTTTTCCTCTCTTACATGCGTAGGATTTACTTTCTAATGCAATGAGATATAGTTACAAAGCAAAATAGCTTCTAATTTCCTAGATGTAATGGTTGTTCTTTATGTTATTATTCTTTGATAAGGGCTAGACTTGACACCAATAAATCACTGTCTGAAGTGCTGTATGTTAATGTTTTCAAAGTTCCACTGAGGAAAGCACATGCTTATGTTTATCTCTGCTGAGGATAACAAAATAGTAAAAAAGCAGATTAAAGCATAGGACTAAGTTTAAACACAGATTACCCCTCTAGTTTCAGAAGGACTTAAGTGTCAACCTATTCCAGTATTGCCCTGAATAGAATGCTTTCTTAAGCTCAGCTTAAAAATTCTTCAGCACAAGGTTTGTGTGTGTGCTCTCCTGCAAGAAAAAGATCCACGTGTGCTCTGTGCTGGACAAAAGCTGTGTAGCCATAGCTAGCGCAGCTCAAAACCTCAGCTAACAGGCCCTGCTAATGGAATGCATGAGCTGCAGCTTCAGCTTCCTAGTAGTCTGCAGACTGGACCAAATAAGTGTATACTTGCTTGCAAAAGACACTCAAGGTATAACCACAGTAAAATCTCTCATCTATATATGTTAGTATAAATGTTATTGTAAAAATATATGTGTCTGATATGTTTGGGTTTTTTAAAGCTGTGTTTAAAGAGTACTATTTATACTGCAAAACCAAGAAAAAAGGCACGCTTAGAGCTCCTTGTGTAACCTTTATACTGCCCTTTGCGCAAATATTTACTGATGAATGGAGACATCCCATGGAAAATTGTGAGACTAGCATAGTGAAATAACCACAAGGAGGCAGAATTAAAATCTGATGAGCAACCTGGATCGTCCCTTTCCCCACTGAGTCCTTCATGTTACATTCTCAGCAACATTCTCATATTACTGAGTGCAATTTTCTACATCTGATAGACAGGTAAAAGATAAATTGAATGTAGTTTCCCATATCCTATATTACCAGTGAGGACTGAATCCTATGTCTTTTCCACAGTACACATACTTCAACATAAAACCAGTCAAATTTGTCATTTTAGTGTAGGAGATGTGTCCTAAGAGTGGTCAGTGGGAAGAAATTCAGCATAGTTGCATTTCTTTCTCTTTTTCTGGGATTTGGAAAATTGATGCCGCCTGAAATGTCAGGAAGGGAGGTGAATCAGTGGGACAATCTACTGGGTCTTCCTCTCTCCACTTTGGGAACTGGAGGAAATCTAGTCCTTCACAGTGTTCCCAAAAATTTGCCACTGGGGGCAGATACTGGATTGCTTACGGTATAAGAGTGCAACCTGGTTCTTGGCCATGTTGCAGGAACGTGCTGAGGGTTGTATGGTCTGTACTCAGGCTTCATAAAGAATGTAATCCATACTCCTGTTTCCTACCTCGGTGCTTTGGCAGCTCATGAGTTAGCTTCTTCTGCAGCCATTACTGCTGTTTTGGTGATGGTGCGAGCTGAACCATGAGATTCTCATATGTTTTCATCATCTTGGCAGACTGGCAAAAGTTTCCTTAGGAGCACAACTGGGAAAAGAGAATCAGTGATTTTTAACAGTCCATTTCTCAACAAAAAGTGACAACGTGTAATGACATAAAGGTATGTGTACATAGAGGAGGCCAGAAAAGCAGGAG